TGCACTTCAGGACAGCTATACTGCATGGTGATGGGGGTTGAATGCAGAGGGTAAGGGTCGTGGTCTTCAGGGTTGGGTGGTGAAGATGTAGGTGTTGGAGGCAGCGGGTGGCGTGGAGAACACAAAAGCTGGGGAAAGTGGGTTGGAGGTGACAGTGGGTCACAAGGGAAAAAGTTTTGGGACAAGGACTGTGGGGGGGGAGGGGAAGCATTTGCATTACTGCTCCTTCTGCATGGCTACGAGCTCCTGGATAGCCTCTGCTTGGTGCTCCAGGATGCTTATGCGCTGATCCGTGCTTTGCTGCCGGTGCTCCGCGCTTTGCCGCTGGTGTGCTGCGTTTTCCTGGAGGATCCTGCTTTCTCTCTCCCTCCAGTTCTGTTCTTTTTCATTCTCTTTAATAGATTGCTGCATCACTTCTTGCAGCATGTCTTCTTTGGTTTTTCGCGGTCTCTTCCTGAGTCTTTGCAGTCTCTGAGCAGGCGATAAGAGGGACGGCTGAGGTCTCAAGGTTGTTGCAGCTGTATAGCTAAAATGCAACATTTAACAGAGGCAGCATTGTTTATACCAGACAGAGTAATGATTTCCCCCGCACTTAAGGAGGGCGCACACAGGGTCTACACAATAGCATAATTTTCCCATCCCAAACAGAGCACACACAACCCACGGGAGCCTCAAAATTGTGAGTAAGGGGGACTGATTATTTCAGGGCTGTACTGTCCTCTGGGTTTCTGTGCCTTGGGGAAAGCCAACAGCTGAAGGGGACACCTACACTGAACACTGTCCCAACATTTTCCACAGGAGTTCGTCCTGGACGATATCTCGCTGCTGAGGGTGACCTGGGAAGCAAGGGAGGCTCTTCTACTGCAATGCGGCTTCTGCCTTGGCCCATATGCAGCTTGCCTGTGTGCAGCAATGGTCCCCCCGCGGCACAGTGGCGCGGACACGTTAGCCTGGCTGGGGCAAGGACCACGGTGGCTCTCCCGATAAACCTGCGCAAGCGCATTGCACACGTTCTGGATGAGACATTCGAAGAGATTACCGAGGCCGATTACCGCGATGTGATAAACCACATCAATGCACTATTCCGCATCTAGGCATGCATGCCTAACCCTCCTCTCCCAAAGAGCCCGCACCGAAAAAATTCCTTCCAGAAAAAAAACCCGCTTACCGGGAACCTGCTCTTCTGTTTGTCCTCCACCAAGTACCGGCCGCTGTGACTGGTTACCATCCTCCTGGCTCAAGAAGAGCTCCTGGCTGCATGGCTCCAGGGATTCCGGGGTGTCTCCATCCGGCCCACCACCATCACTCCCGTTTTCTTCTTCCACCTCCCCCCCCCACACCGGCTCTGAAGTGTCCCTGGTGGTGCTCGGAGTGGAGGTGGGGTTAACCCCAAGTATTGCATCCAGCTCCTTGTAGAATCTGCAGGTCGCGGGGGGAGCGGCCGTTTGCGTCGCGGGCTTTGCGGTAGGCACTCTGCAGCTCCTTGACTTTAATCCTGCACTGCAGGGCGTCCCGGTCATGGCCCCTTTCCATCATGTCCTTTGATACCTTCCCAGAGGTATCGTAATTCCTATGGCTGGAGCGCAGCTGGGACTGGACAGCTTCCTCCCCCCAAACACTGATGAGGTCCAGCAACTCGCCATTGCTCCATGCTGGGGCTCGCTTGGCGCGTGGAGGCATGGTCACCTGGAAAGATTTGCTGATAGCACTCCATGCCACGCTGTGCTGAGCAAACAGGAAGGGGATTTTTAAAATTCCCGGGGAATGTAAAGGGTCGGTCACATGGTTGGTTACCTGAGACCAGGGCAGTAGAGTTTGAACTGTTGACCAGAGTGGCTAGAACAGGCATTGTGGGATACTGTCGAATAATTCTGGAGGCCATTCACAGCGCATTGGGTGGCCACACTGGCGCCGCAGCGCTGCAGTGGCAGCGCTGCACTCGCTATTCCTCTCGGAGAGGTGGAGTACATGCAGCGCTGCAACCACGGAGATACAGCGCTGCAAATGCCTTGCCAGTGTGGACGGGGAGTGAGTTACAGCGCTGGGGGTGGCTTTACAGCGCTGCAACTCGCAAGTGTAGCCAAGGCCTCAGTAAGGGGCTGGCCAGAATGGCCCAGACCTGGGTTTATGTCCTAACGTCTGCTACTGTCACAAAAGTCATGGCAAATTCACAGCTTTGAGGGGGACTTTGCATCTTTTAAAGGATCAAGCCCTTCATGAGCTGCTGTCTCTGCACAAGAAACTCTCTTCTGTCTATTCAGATAGAGAATCCCAACTGCCTTGTCCCTGGGTCTTTATTACTGAGAACATTTTCATAAACCTAGAATGTTTGATTCCTTTAACTCCTCCTGCTTCTCCTTCATCCCCCAAATCCTGTGCTTATGACATCACAGCTGTGGAAATAGTTGTCCCCAGTATAGGATTTTGAATAAGCAACAGGAAGATACAATTTTTTGAGAAACAAAGATCCTGATCTAATTAGGGTAACCAACAGCAGAATCTGGTCCCCTGTTTATATGCAAACACCCTTTATTAATATAAGGCCCTGTCTTGCTCCCATTGAAGCCAGTGGTAAAACTTTCACTGACTTCTTTGACAGGAGTACTGGGCCTAGGGGATAGAGAGGCAAAAAATGTGTCCAACAGCCAGAATTGTAACCAAAGAGAGTGCTTAGTTTAGAGTGATGGTCCATGAGGGTTAGCATGGATCCGTCATGAAATGGTGCAAATTTTGGGCTGTCTCTGGTCTAAGGGCCTCAAGTGCTGTGCACTCTCCACTCCTACTAGATCTGTTTGCAAGGGAATTGAGCCCAATCTTGCAACCCATATTCACTTGAGTAGTCTTATTGATGTGTAGGTGAGTGACAGTTTTCAGGGTCTGAAACGGAGAGATGTTCAATACCCCCTTCTCCCTCTGAAGCTGGTAGAGTATTCTTCACATCTCAGGATCAAGCACTAAGTGGTGTCTAAAGAGACATAACTCACTACCTGCAGCCAGAGTTCAAGTTGTGCACATGCAGCAAAGGATTCCCCACCCTTCTACTGTTTCCCTGTCAGTTTGAGCTCTGCCTAGAGTGATTTGCTGCGGATGGAAAAGAATGTACTTGGCCTTTTTGCTTTAGGTCTCCCAGCATGAGAGAGAGCTCTCTGTCGGGGGGAAAAGAAAAACTGTTACTTCTAATTTCTGTGCTGAACCTGAGAAGATATATCTACTTTGTACCAGGAAGCTGGGTGGGACAATTGATGTGATTGGTGGACAGGCAGGCACTATTAGGAGGGTAGAAGGAAGACGCCGCGATAAACACGCCTCTGAGGAAAATCCCATTCAGGTAAACAGCTTCAAGCTGTCTTCAAACATTTGATATCCCGTGCACTTTCAGATGAACCTTAAGCAATTGTCTGCACTTTCCTGACTGTCTACTTCTGTAAAACCTGGGGTTTTGTTTTAAAAGAACACTGTCAAGATTGCAAAATAAATCACCAATCATAACGTATGCACATGCCATTGCCCCCCGAGTGGGTGGAATGAGAACTCAACTGTATCAGCCTTACACTGCTAATGGAGAGTCTCTTCCCTCTCCCCCTTCCCCCACACACTGGGACTTCTGGTTTTTGAGCAGGAGGGTCTGAGCTCCCTACTGCTATCATGATGTTCAGCAAATGTTAACTGTGAAGTTCCTAGATGGATCTGTTAGTGTTTTTTTCCCTCTTTTTTTAAAGCCATACCTTGTTACTAGTGTGTTCTCCTATTAAACCTGAAAGAATTGTAACAGTCCAATTTACTTTCACTGTTAATTGCTGTCATTTACCTTTTTACATTTTTCTCATGTTGGACAGTAAAACTAGTCTGGTCATTTTCTCTTTCCATTCCCATGCACTAACCATGTGTGGGGGTTTCCAACACTGCAAGGGAATGTTTATGTATCTTTTTTTGTCATTTTTTAAAATTTCAAAATAACATTCATGTCAGTTATTATCAGACATTCTTCACCCTGTAGAATCTAAGTATTGGGACTGCACTACTTGATGCCTTTAAAGGGGACAAAAAAATTAAGTTACAAACTGGGGGCCTGTTCTGATCTCCCTTCAGTGTAACTCCATTGACTTCAGTGGTGTCATCCCATATACAACCTAATGCCCATATTCTGCTGGGATTCTCAGCAGACAGAAGCTAGGGGTTTTCAGAGTCCCCAGAACCTTCTGACCAGAACAATTCTTTTCTAACTGCCCCCTCCAACCCAAAAAACTAGTGGGCATGAGCCCCCCAAATCTTCTTTTATAAAGTAACAATGTTGGGAAAGTGCAAACGAACCTTTTACTAAGGGTAGGCCCCAGTGGTGCATCAAGGCTAAATCTGCTTAGTAAATGATTTATTCTTCTTCCCCATACCGAGCGCTGGTGTCTGCATATCCAAATCCTTTTGGTGTATGCTGTATACTGAACTTTGAAATAGTGGCAATGTGGACATAAACGGCCAAATTCTCTTGCCAGTTAAACTGGTGTGACTCCAGCAGCCCTCTGTTAATTTTGATGGTGGAATTACACTGATGCAACTAGGAGCAGAATTTGACCCCATGTTGTATTTATGAAGAAAGCAAATTCAGAAACAAATTTTGGAACAAAATTGTCTGTTTAATAAGAGTTAGCGTATCACCACTCGAATGGGGCTGCTCTTATTTTGAGGGCTGTGATGTGGGGCCTTATCTCAAGAGTGGCTGTGCCCAGCCCCTCTTGGGATCGGGTTTTAGGCTCGTCCTAAGGGTATTAAGTGCAAGTGACCCATTCAGTCATAATTCTGTGCATCCCTTGGGGAGGGGTATCTCGCATAGGAGTAGATTTGTAGCTAGCTTGGACTCTACCACTTGCTGTGTTCATGCTAGCAAAGATGTCTGTTGACAGGGCATTTCCTTGCATGCTGAGCTTGTGACATCTCCCCTGTAGTGTACCTAAAGGCTGAGACTGTCCCCGACTTCCTCCCTCCCTATAATGTTGGGGTGCTTGGGTTCTGTGGCACATGCCCCTTTTGCCAGCACTGGGAGGCACTGATTGCAGGTTCCAAGGGGTAAAATACCATCTTCTATTTTCTGTCTGTCTTTGTTTTAAAGGTTCTTGGAGATCATGGAAATAAGCCACAACTCCCACAGCAGCCCCAGCAACCATCACAGCCCCAGCAGCCACCTCAGCAACAGCCGTTTGTACCACCAGCAGGTCCCCCACCTCCCCCAATTGCTGGGCCACCCCCACCACACTTTCTCCACCCTCCCCCTCCAGTTACTTCTGTCCCACCTCCTCTGCATCCTCCAGGTAGGTATTTGCTCTGAATACAGAGCAATCTTGATGTGTTAATCTGTGTGTGTTAAGTTCAGGTACCTGAGGCTTGGGGAAGTCAAAGGAATCTTTAGTATATTTAAGAAATGTTAAGGAACAGTTGATTAGCCATGTATCAGATCACTGAGATTCAACTAATTCAAACTGTAACTCAGACAGCTGGGGAACACCCCCCCCCCCCCTTTCCCCCAGCCTTTGGATATATATGCCTTCAAACTCTTCAGGGCTGCTGTTCCTCTTGAATGGCTCTCAGTGTTTTGTTGCAGTCGCTGATGTCACTTGGATACCATGGTGCTTGGCCTCTTACACATGGATAAATAGACTAGCAATTTCTATTAATCTTTGAAGGAAGGTAGGAACATAGGAGTTGCCTCACTGGATCAGACTAGTGTGCTATCTAGATAGTCCAGGATCCTGTCTGACAGATACTTCAGAGGAAGGTGAAACACCCTGTAATGGACAGTTCTGGAATAATCTGCTTAGAGGGGAAGTTTCTTCCTTACTCAGGTTGGTTGGTGGTTAGTTTGTGCCCTGAAGTCTGAAGGTTCATATCCCTTCTCAATGTGTATCCCATACATTTTTATTATACCTCGTGTCACTGTGGGATATTACTTGTATAAACATCTGAGAGTGTAAGCAGGTATTAGAGTTCTGCCCATTTTATTTTTCACTTTTAAGACAATAGTGTGTATGTGCAAATGAGGGGCCTCCAATGGACTCCTGGCAAGCTGTCAGTGTCCCTCAATCTCGCCAAGTTTGTGCTCCCTTACAGATATTGAGTAGGTAGGCATGGTGCAGAGTACACGCAGCACTTAAGAAGACACACTTAACTTAAAAATCGCATCTCCCAGAATGCTTTTTACCTACGGTAGTTATAATGCCTAGGAGGCTAGAACCTGATAAGATGGAGGGAAGGGGCCTCTATTTTGGTCTGGGTATCCCCCCTTTATGTCTTTGGCAATATTTTGCATATAATCAGTTTCTCTTTCTCCTGAACAGCTAGTCACTCACCTTCTTCTGATGTTTGTATGGATCTTACACAATAGCAGCAGGGGGAGAGAAATTTTAACAAAAGGAAAAAGCGCTTGTAAAGCCACTCAGCAATGGGACTCAAGTATTTGTAGACCTGAAACTATTACATTTATTTTTAGAGTGACTAGATTTCAAGTGGATGGTGGTTCCTTGTATAACAAATGTAATTGTGATGAATTGGTGTATGCTTCACACCTAATTTTAGAGAGGGGCTGATTAGATAGAGGGATTGCATTGTATTCCTGAAGGGAAGAGCATTGTCTAGTGGTAAGAGTAGGGCTCTGAGGGACAGGAGTCTCAGGTTCTACTCCCATTTCTGCTACTTGATGCACTGTGTGACACACCTTACTGGAGATAACCTATGTGAATTGGGGTTAGATTAGTATTTATTTTCTAGAGAGGAACCAAAATCCTCTCTTTAAAAACATCTGGTTCTGTAGAGTGTGTTGATCCAGGTCCAGAGATTAGATTAGAATATTTACTCTGAATGGACAGTTTGTCATTCATTTATCTTTGACCTAGTGTTGCATGAGTCAGTGTCTCAGGTGAAGGTTAATTAGTCCTTAAACTCTGGTGCTAAAATCACTGTTAGACTCAGGACTGTAGTGGTTTCACATGTATATCTGTCATTGATGTCAAGTGGAGTTTTGGATCAGCCTGTTAAAAAAATGTGCAGGCAAAGACCAAGATGGCTTGCTCATTCATGGGCATTTGCCTGCTGACAGTCCAGGGCAGGCACAGTATCAGAATCCTATTGATTCCTTTTTCTAACTAGCAGCATCAGCAATGGCCTGAAACACCTTTTTCCATTTACTACAAACAAGGCAGTGCCTCTTCCACTCAAGAATTGACCTCACCATGGTGATCAATGCCTTTATTACTGGTGGGCTGGAATACTGAAGTGAAGGCCACACTTTGGACTTTACCTCGTCCAGGATGCAGCAGCTAGTCTCCTGACTGGAAGAGGTCAGCAAGAGCATATCATACTAGTGCTTCTCTCTTCGCTGGCTTCCTTTTCTGAAGGTCCAGAATAAATATGCTTTCAGGGCATCTAATCCATGGAGAACATTATTGCATTGCCTGAGTGATGGATGAAATAATAGCCTCCTTGGTCTTTTCTGCCTCATTTCTATGATGGCTAAAGGGGGGAGAAGTGAACAGTTTTTACTGTATATTCTGTTTGCTGAAATATACCTGGCCTCAAACAAACTTTTTGAAGCGGATACTATTAAACCAGGCTCATTAGCTTGTGGTAACAAAATAATGTTAACTTCTTGTTCTTCTCACTAAGTTTTGTTTTCTTATTTCCGTAGGCTTGCCACCACCAGGTCCCATTCCAGGTAGGCTATTGATTTGCTTTTAACAGTGGCAGTGACTCAGAATAGTCCTATCTGAGCACTGAAGTAAAGTATGAAATGGCGTGGCTGCGTCTTAGCCTAAGTCTGATTGACCTCAAGGTAACATAAGCACTGATAAGCAGTGCAATCTCAAACTTCAACTGCTTAACTTCTAGAGCTCAATAATGATCCATAGGGCCAGTTAAAACAATCATTTTATCTTGGAAGAATACTCCAGAAAGTAGCTTAGGTTGGCAGAGGACATCATGAAAGCTTCTTGGTTAAATTTCAGAAGACCTAACTTGTGCCATCATGGGAGCTCACATAGTGATGAGTCTTCTGCCAAATCAAAGTGCTTCATGTAAGATTTCAGAGAGAGCATGAGAACAAGGGGGCAACAATGGCTGTTGTCACTGGAAGTTCTCTTTCCCGTGATGTGCAGTAGAGTTGGTGAACGTTCACAAACCAAATGTAACAAATAAGTTTGAGCCCAAGCTGGAACAGCCCCAAACTTTGAAGAGCTTCAGATCCTGATTGGAACTGCTCATCTCAATGTAAAGAATATTGCAGAATGGATTCTTTTTGTTATTGAATGGACCCTGCTCATAGGGAGCTTGGATCTAGGGAAATGCCACCTCTAGCAAAGCAGAGTACAAATCCCGACCTACTTCTGGGCGCTGCCGTTGCCAGTTGCAATTCTGGTTCCATCTAGATTAAAGTTGTGATGGGCTGGAGGGGAAAGAAATGACTTTAGCTACAGTGGAAGCTTCATATATAGTAATTGGACTGAAAAGGGTAATGCATGGAAAATACCCTGTGATAATTTTTGCTTCTACGGTAATTAGAGGAAGGTGCATGACACACTAATAATTATCAGTGCTTTCTCTCAACAATAGCAACTGCTCTAGAGGGATGAGTTTCACAAATGTTACAACTTTCTCTAGTCATATTATCTACAGATTAAAAATCTTTCAAAAATAGGGAAGGGGGGGAGTCTTGATGACTGTCAGAATAACTTAAGAAAACACATTCTTTTAAAACAACGAAAACAAATGTTTACACTGGAACAATCTAGTGGTTCACTTAGCATGATGTCCTCGCCATTGGTAATGGCTTATGCAAGAATTTCTTGGTTGTTTGAAACTGGTAAAATTTTCAAAATCACCTAAGTCTCATTTTCAGAAGTGATTTAGCCACTTTGAAAGTCAATGGGATTTAGAAGTCTAGGTACGCAAGTCACTTTTAAAAAGTGGAAAGAGATCATGTGGGGTCCTTCTAACATCCATTTAACTGTCTAGTTTGTGCTCTGCCCTACTGTGGTTTCTGCCTTCTACAGTGTAGTTATGGTCAGAAAAGTGATTTTTCCCAAAAGAGTACAGTAGGCTTCCATGTTGCATGTCACATTCAATCACTGTACAGATAAAACCATCACTCTATTTACAGTCAGCCCTAGGGATTTCAATCTGGGATCTGAGAGCCAAGCCTTCAGTCCTCAATGGGACTGCACAGGGTTAATGTAGGGGGAAATTTTCACTCAGTACTGGAGTTGATATTTTGTTGTTGATGCACAAGCCAGAATAGAGTCTGGCTCTTTTTTCTTTAGCTGTGCTGTCTCTGTAGGGCAAATAGGAGTAAAAAGCAGTAGAGGTTCAATTGTGGTAAGGGCATATGGTTCTGAATACACTCAGGGGTGTGAGTTTGTGGAGTAAAAAGGTGCCATTTCCACATAACTGTTCAGAGTAGAACTGTGCTTTAATTGCCTAATTTCTGGGGGAATCTAGCCCCACATCGTAAGCCTTCTGCGGCCTCATCTTGACACTCTGCTTTTATTTATAGGGCTGTTCCCTCCACCTCTGGCTCCTCCACCAGCTCTCCTCATTCCAACACTTGATGGGTAAGGCAGAATCTTCCTTTGAGTAGATAATTTTCCATCCTGGTTTTACACAGCCAGGTGCAGCTAGACAGTAGAATGGAATGCCTCTGGGTGGGAGGCATAGTAGGGAAATAGGAGCTATCCTGTTTCTTTCACAGTTTTAAGAAACACACAGAATCTTTAAGAAGTACTAAGAATCAAGGTAGCTTAAGGAGCAGGATGTGGGAATACTGTAACTAGGTGTGCTACGTAGTAGGGGACCCATCAGCATGGCCACATGGTATCGGGGAATGCTAGGTTTGTGTTTAGAATATTTGTAGAGTAACTTACAACCTGCACCTGATTTGGAAGGGGAGCATGAATTGCCAGGTTTGCAGTGAACTCTTGCTCCAAGCCTTTAATCTGTTGCAGCAAACTTCGCCCTTGGTTTGTCAGTTCACTGGTATCTTGTCATGTCACACACGTGCTAGGAGTATGTTCGCAACCAGTATTCAGATTTGTATTGTCGCTTTCACTGTGTTCTTAATAATACCATTTTGCATTTCCCTGGCATTTCCATCCAAGGATCTTAGAGCACTTTGCTACTATGAATTATTTCTTATGAAGCATTATTAGCCTCGTGCAGATTGGGGAGGACGACGGAGGACTAATGCTCGTGGAGGCAAAGGGTCTTGCCCAAGGACACAGAACAGGCTCATGGCAGAGCCAGGACTATAACTTAAATTGCCAGACTCCCAGTCCACCACACCACGGCTTGCCTCAGGGAACCGTCTGTGAGGTGAAAGGATGTGACCTCTGGTCATCTTGCATGACTAAAGTTACCAGATGGCCCCCCCACCCCACCCCCAAAAATGGTTGGAGATCCTTGCATGAAAAATGCTATGGATGGCAAAGTGTGATGATTGTTAAAGTGTAGCATAACACATGGCTTTATAGCTATTAAAGAATCTCTCATTTCATTCAAATCGCCACTCCTTCCTTCCCCAAATGATCTCTTTGTCTGCCACCATTCGCTAGAGATGAACCTACTCATTCCTATATTACATTAATTTACACAATTTTTTGCCCAAAACATGAGTGAACCTAAGTGGAACCTTTTCTTAGACTCTGATGAGCTTTCCTAACTTCTCATTTCTAGCACGATCTTCTGTTTTCACACTGCCTCTGGCCTTTTCAAGACTGACCATTTTCCTGAATTTTGGTATGGTCACTACAGGGCATCATGGCAAAGAGGAAGGAGGATCTGTGACTAGATGGAGGGCAGACTGTCAGGGCTTTTGGCCAGAGCCAGTCCCTCCCTTCTGGTCTCCATCCTCTCATCAAGACCTTCCACTCTGTCCTGCCTCTCCCTGCTGCCAGATCCCACATCCAGCCTCAACCCAGGAGTGGAGACTTGTTGGCCTGGAGACCAGGCAGGTGTGAAGAACCCAGCTTGGATTTCAGGAGTTGAACAGAAGCAAGGGGGTTAGGAGGAGACTCGTGGTATCTGGGGGGCGGGGAGGGGTCCTGTCTTAATCTCTCCATTGAGTTAACAGTAACTGTATTGCAGGCTCCCGCTCTGTGTGCTAAGCTGATGGCAGGTAACTGATGTTAGTAACTGGTGTCCTTGTGTTCTCTCCAAAGCCAACCTGCCGGCTACAATAACAGGCAGCCTCCACCATTTGGATACAACTCTGCAGGTGAGCACGGAAGCCACAGGATGGTGGAACTGACTGGGCATGGGGCTGGCCAGAGGGTTGTTAGTAACTTAGCCTTGTGCTAGGCTGACCTATGCCTCTGTCACTGTGACCTTTGAAGCTGTGTCTGCGCTCCAGACCGCCCAGTCGCTGACAGCGGGTGTTGGTAATGGGCCTAGCAGTAAACGTTCTAGACAGTCTTAGATCAGCTGCACTCTCTGAAATGACTCTGACCCAGGTGATGCTTGTAATTAAATAGTTCTCATTCCTGTATCAGCTGCCCTCAGTACCCAACTCCCATGTCAGCAACAGAGAAGCTTCCTAGTGCAGCCATGGGTCCCTGTGCCCCTAGTCGTAATCCTAGCTTTTTCCAGGGAAGAACACGCCCCCAGCCAAATTTCAGGCTTTTCCCGCATGAGCCTTTGAATGTCCCTCTTCCACCCCTGCTGTATCCTCCTTCCTTGCAACATGTACACACCCTGCCTAGGCACACTCACAAGCATCTGTCTCCTTTAGTCTCCTAATGGAAGAGGCAGTAACAGTGTTTCAGTAGATTTCCTTCCCCACTACAACCTTGCCTGTGCTGCCCGTGTCCTTTCCTGTTTCTTTAGTCCAGCTGGCTCCTGTCCTGGGTCAGCGGCACTTGCAAGTGGTGCCTATTCATCTAGCAGGCAGGATTGCAGACGCTGACATCTTCCTCCCCCTCTTGGGGGAGAGGGAGGTAGGGACTGCAGAGTATGGGCATGTGGCATCCTGAGAAACTGCAGCCTTCTAATCTAGTATTCCTTCAAATAAACATCCCAGCAGCAGCCTGTGCCATCTCAGGCTGTGACCTTGGTGGCCCTTTCCAATGAAGCAGGACAGTGGCCGGTCAATACTTGAATAAGACACCTCCAGGGAGGTTGGTGGTGGTCTGGGATTCACTAGGTGTCACTCTTTCCTTTGCCAGCACTGAGACCTCGGCATGATATTTCAAAGCATTTCTTAATTCAACATCTGATAGAGAAAGAACCTGGGATTTACTTGTTGCAGGCACCAGCCCTAACCCTGCAAGGGGTCAGGGGTCAGACTTCTTGCTCTATGAGCTAACAGAGCTGGCTAGGAATCTTGAAGACCAAACCATAGACTCTGCTGGCTGATCAAAAAGAGAGAAACTGCCAGGGCTTCTCGGGATCCTTTGTCTTGTCCTCCTGCTCAGAGGATGCTGGTTGGGGAAGGAAGAAATGATGGGGCTTCCTGGGGGCGGACCAGTAACATGGCCAAGTGGGTAGCTGTGATCCACGGAGGGCAGGTGTCAGCAGCTCCTATTTGAATATCCTTAATCAGTGCCTGGAATGATTGCAGCAACATCTGCCTCTTTCTGGCCTAGGGAGATGATGCTTAAAACTTGTTAGAATATCATACCTGAATATACAAGGGGGAAATCAGGGGCTCATGGGTAAAGAGGTGGGGGTTGGGTTAGTGGTTATTCAAAGGGAGTAGTGTCACTTCCTGATCCAGCAGTACCACTAACTAGAGCACCTACATGTTACTGGGTGAGTCCCAATCCCAGATCTGACCTAGGTCAAACCTGCTTAGGTTGCAGGATCTGACGAAATTGCTGCCCAATGTGGCCTGGTTGCAGGGTGCGGAGAAAGCATGTCTTCTTTCCCCATTGGGTCAGCATAAGGGGCAGCACTAACTGTTCAGGCAAGTGAAGGTTCTGCTCTCTCACTGCAGATTCTGGTTTCATCAGCTACCCTCCTATTTCCACTTCTCACACGCCTTGGGTGACGACAGTGGATAAGGGCACGAGCAGCTCCAGCAGCAGCCACTGGGAGTACTCCGGCTCAAGGCGTGAGAGAGAGAGGGAAAGGGAAAGGGAGAGAGACAGAGACCGGACTCCAACCACCAGTGAATACAACAAGTAAGCAAGAACAAGAGATGGGACACCTGGGTTCTTCTCGGCTGTTGACTTGTTATGCAACCATGTAATCTCCATGCCTCAGTTTCCCTGCTTGTAACACAGGGCTAATGACAGATTATATATCCACCTTTTGTGTAAGGCACTTTGGTCTCTGGATGACAAGTTCTATACAAATGCTATTATTCTGTAGTTTCAAGATGAAAAGTTTCTAAATGTAACAATACTGTAATTTTGATGGGAAACTGCCCCCTTTTGCTGAGCCCCATGGTCTGAAAGCTTATGGGATAAGGAGCACTGTTCACCATGAACATGCCAGGCAGTGTAAACCCTTAATGACAATGGGCATTTCTCTGGAGACAGCCACCTTGTTGGGAATTAAATGTGATTTAAGGGGACAGCAGCCATGAGAGAGCTCAGTGAAGGGGGCTGCAAACCGGAGACACAGGAAAGATTAGACAGTTGCTGTTCTTTCAATGCAGTTGCTTTGCACTCTCCACCATAGGCTTTCGTGATGTTACTGTTGTCATCAGCACTGTTGATATTTTTACAAGCATCACGCCCAGCAATGCCAGTAGTTGCTGAAAACATCACCAAAATATATGTATATTCCTGGCAAAGGGTGCTGCTTGCTCTGGGAACTTCCAGGCCACTGAGCTGAGCAAACAAGGCAGTTTTCTTGTAACAGAGAGCTTTTTTAAAAGGCTTCAGGCATTTTGGAAGGTGATCAGGCAGGGAAGGAATGAAGATGTTAACATACTGGAATTTGTAAGGCTCCTGTAATTCTGGGGACATGAGTCATGTGATCTGCTTAGCACTCCAGGCACCGTGCTAGAATTTTTAGTTGCTGTAGAGTATGTTGGCATCTAGAAGCTTAAATTGTATTCACCAGGTAGGGCAAGTCACAGTAATGAGTTAAGCCCTTTTGTGGTGATAGTTCCCAGATGATACCTCTTTCTTTGATTCTGTCTGATTGCTTCTATTTTGGGAGTTTTCTTCTTTAACTTGTTTCCGTAGGTCACAAAACAGCATTTCAGGCTTTTTTCCCAAATGCTTCATTCTTGTTTCCAACTATGGGACTTGGGATGTTTTTGGGGTTTAGTATTCAGTGTTTTTATGGGGAAGAGGAGTTATAAGACAGGCATAGAGGAGAAGAGTGGGAATTGCAAAATGTGTCTGCATTTTGGATATGCAGTTTTATATAGAAGAGGGGGAGATGTTTAGGCTGGAGAAAGGGTGCAGACCATAAGATCATGTGGTCTCTGTGTATCGTACTGTTTTCTTAGGCACGTGTATGTGTGTGTTTGTTTATCTACATTTGGGTGTAAATAAATAAAAATAGACTCAAGCAAAGGGATGTAAAAGTAGCCTGAACAAGAGTACTGCAGAGTATAGTCCTGCACTATCAGAGTGGAGAGATACAAGTACCACGTTTCTGGGCCACTTTGGTCATTTCCTTCTAGTTTATGGAAAATGTAGAGCAAGACGGAACAATGGTGAGAGGGCGTATCACAAATGTGTTCCAGAAAGACCACCTGGGCAAAGGCCAGGTTCTCTGCCACACACCCACGTATAAGAATACTCTTTAGACTCTTTTACATCCTTATAGAAACTCTAAACCATTCTCTTTAGTTGAGATCTCGTATACCTTGTGTAGGAGGGGTTGGAGTGTGTTGTGGGAGGGCCATGGATGGGAATAGGCAACAATTATTTCTGTTTATTATTACAGATAGTTGCATGAATGTTTGTTGAAACTTGTGTGTTGATCTGAACTCCAGTGTTGTTTCTGAGCTACGATAAGCAAGAAACGTTAAGCTTATGGACTTATAAGGGTTTTTCTTTTTAAATATCTGTTCTGATTGTGCTAATAGAGAATTCCAGACTAAATCAACATTGCACTTTGTCAAGAAGTGATGTTTCCCTTGGGGGCATGGGGGTCAGGTTGTGAGTAGATGAGGCCCTCGGAGACCCTGGGATTTCAACAGGCTCCATGAACATAGCTCAATGTATTAGAGGGCAGGCTCAAGTGCTAATGAGTAGCATATTTCCCCCCTCCTCTGTCTAGCAGCTCCCTCTGTCTCACTGTACGCTTGTCTCTCCCCCAAAGCGATGATGAGCGATATCGCTACTACAGTCGAGAGCGAAGCTATGATTTTGAGCGGGATTATCGCAGGAGTAGAGATCGGAGCAGAGAGCGGGAGGATCGCCACCGGGAGCGCAGGCACAGAGAGAAGGAGGAGAGCAGTAAACATAAGTCTTCAAGACGGTAAGATTCCTCGTTGGTGGAGCGGGCCCTTTAAGTGGGAGTGGATCTTGGCTCAGGACAGAGGCTGGAATATCCACAGCAAACCTGACCTCTAGTCCATTCTGGCATTGCCTATGCCTGTGACATTGTCCAATATCTGATGCTTCAGAGGAAGGCAAAATCCCCATAAATAATGCATCTGGCCAGGGATTCAGAGCCATCCTTGGTAGGGGAAGGCTTCCTTTGTATTACTGTGTATTCATATTGTACATTTTAGAGGAGCAAGGCTATCTATGGGAATCTGGCAAAGCGCCATCTGTAGGTCCTCCACATTGGTTCCCAGCAGGGATACTGCTGGTCATGGACTCCGCACCAGGAGACTCTCACTTTCCATGAAAAGAAAATGTCAAACTAAAATAGGAAGGAAAAACTCAGCTGTGCTCTGCTGGAACAATGGACCTGTCCACTCCAAGGAGTGTGCACAGGATGGAGGGTTCAGTCCACTGGTCTGAACTTCACTCCTGGAGTGTGGTGCAGGGCTAGGGCACTGGCTTAGCAGTCAGGAGATCTGGGTGGTGTTCCCATCTCTGTTGGTGAGTGATATTGCCTGAGTCACTGTCTCTCTCAGGGTGCCTCCCACCCCCAATAAAATGGAGCTAGTGCTGCTCTGATAAAGAGATCACTCATGGAGCAGATCAGGGTGTTCGTGAATCTCCACTCCTTCAGAGCAAAATGTAAACTACTTCTTGAACCAATCCTTGAACTAGCACTCCATCAACAAAATAACAAGCCTAAAATCCAGCCTCTGACTTCTGAATTAATATGCTTCAGAATTCTGGGAGCTGCTCAGATACCACAGCAATCGGCATCTTGTTAACAGTGTAGGTAGATTTTTTTAGATCTAAGGGCATGTCTACACTAAAAATTTAAGTTGACCTATGTTATGTCGACTCACAGCCTTACTTTGGCGGTTCATGTCACACTGCCCTCCTTGTGTTGGTGGTGCACGTCCTCTCCAGGAGCCCTAAGAGGGGCAGTGTGGGGGGGCCAAGAGTCCAGGCTCTCAGCTCTGCGGCTTCCCCCCCAAGGGCTCTCGGCTCCCTGCCAGGAGCATGTCAACCATCCGGGCTCCCAGCTGGAGCTCCCCACCTGCCTGAGGGTGACAGCTGGAGCTGTAAGCGACAATTGTCAAGAATGGCAGCCAACAGCTGGTGTATGTAACTGACAGAGTGTATATATGGATACTCCGTCATCCTAACTACACCGACATAAGCCCTACATCTCTCCTGGAGGTGGAGTTATGTCAGTGTAGTAGGGCACTTACATTGGAGGGAGCAAGGCTGCAGTATGTACACTGACATAATTAGGTTGATGTAAGCTGCCTTATGTCGACCTAACTGTAGTGTAGACCAACCAGGCCTTAGCATTTCAGGCTGGTTCTCTGGAGGAGGGAAAAAAATGCCTTCTATTCATGTAATTGATGTATCAGAAAAACCTTCTTTCTGAAGACTAGAGGTAAAATGCAGGTCTCATCTTTCAGGATGCACATGAATTTCTCCAAGAGGTAATAACTGCTCTCTTGTGTAAAGGAAGGGTTAGAATCTCACAAGAGGGTGGGAACCGAATTGAAAACAAATGGAAGCTTGTGCTAGTTTAATAATAATACTCCTGATACCCAAGAGATTTGATTTTGTAGTAGGAATACAGCAAATCGCTTGGCTGTACAAGCAGCGTGGACTCTGTTGAAATGATGCCAAAAGCTATTAGCGTGCTTAGATAGGGAATTAGAATACAGAATGCCAGCTGGAAATGAAATGCTGAGAGAGATTTTCCTCTTGCTCTCTTTAAAAGCAAGCACTCCCCTGTTTGAGCAGCCCAGAGTGCTTGGATGAGAATTGTTTGTTCCGCTGAGTAAATGGTGAAATCCACGTAGAGTGTTTTTAAAGGTGGCTTCGAATTAGAATTGTGTTTTGGAGCCTAGTGCTTGAGGTGATCATGCTAGTAAGAGCTGACGTCATTTGGGACTCTTGCAGTAGGAGAAGGGGCTGGGTTTCAACCTGCTTTAGGTTAGATTTAAGTCTGAAGAAAATCTGTTATGTTTACAAATGAAGCCCCCATTTCAAATGTTCAAGACCTTTGAGAGGAAGGATGGTTGTGTGGTCTGAGCGCAAGGTTGAAAACAAGCAGAAGTAAGTTCAGTTCCTGGCTCTGCCATTGATGTGTTGGGTGGCTGGCTAGGAGACTTATCTCCCTGTGCAGGAAATGCTGTGAGATCCTTGGAGGGAAGGTATTAAGTTAACATGCCAAGAGTGGTTTCTTTTTATGATAATGGAACCATGATTAAAGTAAGTTAGAAACTGACTTGCAGCCTTGGGATTTTTACACAGGACCTGAGTGTTCAGCAAGAGGTGCACCTTCACCACTGGGCTTGGGAATGCCAGTTCTAATAAGAATGTGTTCACATGCTCTGCGTGAAGGTATCCATGTGCGAAACTCCATTTACACTCCCCTGGGAGCTACTCATCTGCACTTTGTCCCCTACACAACCCTGCTGCATTGGTTTGTCCATTTTTAACCCGCAGAGCAACTGCAGTGCTCATTTTCTCTCTTTAAAAACAAAACCTGGCAGAGAAACCTTCATACATTTGGGAAGCAGGAAAGAACCTTCCCACACAGTCCTATGGCCTGAGACCTAGGAGGGGGAAAGTTCAGCCCTGGGCCAACACCTGGCTTATCAGAGGTAGAATTGGGCTGTTTTGTCCAGGTAGGAAGCCAGCTGTTCTCTCTGCCAGTAGGATCAGTCTTTCCTTTCCAGCCTGGGTAAATCCCAAGAGATTCTGTGTAAATAAACTAGTGCAGGTAAATTTTCAACAGTCTCTCAAATGTATTCTTGTCCTCTCCCTCAGCACCCCCCCTACACAGCTTGCATTCCCTCCACTCATTATTGGAGCCCGGCTTTTACAGGTGGAGGAATACCAAAAATAGTCCTACTAAAAGTCCCAAACTATTCCTACAACAGCCTCTGTCAAATATGTGGCATGTACAGATTACATAATGGTGCACCATGGCAGAAAGGATTTATTAGCATCCACTTGGGCCAACCTGCATAACTCCCTCATGGTTTTGACATTCAGGAGTAAGAAGAGCATCTCAAACGAGTGCTGATAAAACCTTTCTGTGGCATCACATTTATTCTAGGTCATACATGTCATCCTTGTCGGCACCTTTTGTCATAGGTACAATTGAACTTCTGTGGCAGTTGGCCGTGCTGACATTTGATTCTGGTTTCTCTACCCCTTCCCCGTCATTACAGTAAGCAGCACGAGAATGAAGAGGGTGAAAGCCACCGGCGCCACAAACACAAAAAGAACAAGCGCAGCAAAGAGGAGAAGGAGGCCAGTGATGATGGTGTCGCAGAGGGAGATGAACAAGATGCTAAGGAGTAACGGCTCCCAGCTGTCCTTTAGGAGGGACTTGCTCCTTTGCAAGCAGCGTGGCATCTAACTTTATTTTCCAAGGGAAGCAGAGATGACTCTGGTGGCCAAGTATTGAAACACAATGTGACAGCTCAAGCGTTAAGGCTGAACACACAGTTAAACTTGGATACAAGACAAAGTATGGCAGTAATAGTATATACAGCACCGAGCTATTCTTCTTGTAAACGACCCTAGAAGAACTTCATTGTATCAGATCCTATGGTTTCTGATGAAAGACAGCTTCAGCTGAAACTAACGTACTTAGGTGATAGGGTTTTTTTGCGCAACCATGATTCCTTTTTTTTTTTAAAAGTAGGACAGTAACTGCAACTTGAACTCTATTGTCCAAAGAAAAGTGTGATTTAGGTCCTCTGTGAGCCAGTTTAGAATCTGACGTCTGTTAGTGAAAGTCTCATCCCCAAATCCATTTCTTTATAGCTATGAAAGTATCTCTCATCTGTCCATGGCCGGATTGGCAGCATGTGGAAAGGAACTACTTTACAGGTGTCATTTGAACCTGCTTTGGTCTAATGGCTTTTAAAAGGTAGGACATTCAGAGACTTCAAACCCAGTCTTTTTTTTTTTGTAACTCATTGAGAATGTAGTTCTACTACATGTTATACCTGTAAATGGAAAGTCACATTCCGTGGAAGACTGTGGTGAGAGCATGAGTTTCTTTTTTTAATTAGTTTGGATTATTTTTTTTGTAACAATTGAGATAAATAATCTAACACCTTAAGGAACATGAAGCCCCATCCAGCAGTTTGACATTGTTGGATTTACTTATTTATATTCAACATCATTAATACACCTGTGCAATGCATTTCACCCTGCCTCCTCCCCATAGATCTCAGAATAATGCAATCAAATTCCATGCTCTGTTTGATTTAGGGTTTGTTTTGTTTTTAAACAAATTTCTCAGTGGAAGGTGGGGGTTTGTTGTGTATACCTGGTTCTTAAACAGAATACTGCACTTGTTTGTGTGAAGCCACAAGTATCTAATTTTAAGTATCTTCCACTTCTATGAATTGATATTTAAAACTGTCTTAATTCCTTCCCCAAAATAAGATGGTTCTGAAATTTTACATATGATTTTTTTGTACTGTAGTCATGCAAGTCTGAGTGTTGTGTGAAGCTTACAACCTTTGAAACTTGAGCCCGTACAGCATGATAGCAATTTGTATGCTATGACACTGCATTTGGTGGGTCATTAACTACAAAACCTGTGGGAAGCAGAATAAAGCAATTTTTTTTGTAAATGTGGGTTTTAAAAACTTTATCCATTGTCTTGAAGCAACAGAATCATATGCAGTGCATACTGAAGGCAGAGGGGAAAAAACCTAGACCACACTTAAATGTATTTACTCCCTTTTCAGTGCTGTGTGCAGCCATGCCTCAACTTTAACAGAACAATTTGGCTCTGGTGATGAGATCTATGGAGTATTTCATGTTACCATTTAGGAGTCAGACCAGGTCAGTAGTGATTAGCTTTTGTGATGACATCTGCAAAGAGATAATGGTATCTGTTTAGTTCTTAATGTACAAGAGGCCAGGTTGGCAGAGCAGCCCAGCACTTGGGAGTTCAGGCATACTGTGGAAAGCAGTACAAGGATCACTTTGTACTAGCACTGCTCTGGCTCTAGCGTAAAAGCTTCATTTTCTAGCCATGTTCATTAGGCAACTTTAATGAGCACTGAATTTATTCATTTTTGGAGAGGAAAGGTGTCCTTACTACAAGGGGGGGAAAAGGCCATACCAAGAACACTTGCTTATAGCAAAGAGGGTGTAAAAGGTATTCAACATGTGCCCAATATATAAAAATGTAGGGCTGTCAAACGCTTAAAAAAATTAATTGCACTGTTAAACAATAGAATACCATTTATTTATTTAATTTTGATGTCTTCTACATTTTCAAATATTGATTTCAATTACAACACAGAATACAAAGTATACAGTGCTCACTTTTTATTTTTGATTACAAGTATTTGCACTGTAAAAAAAGCAATTGTATTTTTAAATTCACCTAACAAGTCCTTTAGTGCAATCTCTTTATCGTGAAAGTTGAATTTACAAATGTAGAATTATGTTCAAAAAAACCTGCACTCAGAAATAAAACAACGTAAAATTTTAGAGCCTGCAACTCCACTCAGTCCTACTTCTTGTTCCGCCAATTGCTCAAACACACACATTTGGTTACATTTCAGGAGATAATGCTGCCTGCTTCTCACTTCCAGGTAACACTAAACAAGAACAGGTGTTCTCATGGCACCGTTGTAGCTAGCGTCACAAGATATTTTCATGCCAGATGCGGTAAAGATTCATATGTCCCTTCATGCTTCAACCATCCTTCCGGGTGACAAAAGTCCATGCTGATGATGGGTTCTGCTTGATAACAATCCAAAGCAGTTTGGATGGACACATTCATTTTCATTATCCAAGTCAGATGCCACCAGCAGAAAGTTGATTTTCTTTTTTGGTGATTTGGGTTCTGTAGTTTCCACATGGGAGTGTTGTTCTTTTAAGACTTCTGCAAGCATGCTCCACACTTCATCTCAGATTTTGGAAGGCACTTCAGATTTTTAAACCTTGGGTTGAAATCTCACATCGGTACCTTCTTTGTGTTCTGTCAGATCTGCAGTGAAAGTGTTCTTAAACTGAACCTGTGCTGAGTCATCATCCAAGACTACTATAAGATGAAGTATATGGCAGAACGTGGGTAAAACAGAGCAGGGGACCTAGAATTCTCTCCTAAGGAGTTCAGTCACAAATTTCATGAACATATTTTTTTAATGAGCATCATCAGCATGGAAGCATGTCCTCTGGAATGGTAGCCAAAGCACGAAGGGGCATACGAATGTTTAGCATAGCTAGCACGTAAATATCTTGCAATATTGGCTACAAAAGTGCCATCCAAATGCCTGTTCTCACTTCCTGGCAACATTGTAAATAAGAAGCAGGCAGCATTCTCTCCTGTAAATGTAAGCAAACTTGTTTGTCTTAGCAATTGGCTGAACAAGAAGTAGGACTGAGTGGACTTGTAGCCTCTGAAGTTTTAGATATTTGTTTGAGTGCAATTATGTAACAAAAAAAACTATGTGTAAGTTGCACTTGCACAACAAAGAGGTTGTACTATAGAACTTGTATGAGGAGAATGGAACTTTTTATTTTTACTGTACAAATATTTAATAAAAAATAGTTTTCTACATTTTCATATATTTTGTATTGTGTTGTAATTGAAACCATTCAGTTGGTAGTCTATTGTTTAACAGTGCGATTAAAACCAATTAATTTGAGTTAATCACGTGAGTTAACTATGATTAATCGACAGCCCTAATAAAATGCACTGAGGAAGTCATTCGGTAGGACTTCAAAACTTTGGATTAGCAACCAGTCTTCACTTTGCCTGTATACTATTGCAAAGGTGGTGATGATCACCCTTAGGTAGGGTGACAGTGCTGATATTTGGAGCTTTTTCTTATATAGGTTTTTATTACTCCTATCCTGATTTTTTTCCCCCCCCCACTTTCAGCTAAAGTGACAATTGACAAGGCAGAGCAAACTAATGGAAGTCATTTGCCTGTCAACCCCCCTACAAATAAATGCTTTACCGTTCTGAATGGGGTGGTAGAGGTACTATTATTATGGACACCCAACAACTGTGTAGCTCAATCATCACAGAAGGAAATACGCCAGTGCTATAGTGTCTAGAGACGTGGGGTATGTCTACACTGCAGCTGTGAGTATGCCTCCCAGTGTGTACTAGCTCTGCTCAAGCTAGTGCATAAAAGAGCAGCATGGATGTTGTGGCATAGGTTAGCCACCTGAGTCAAGTAGACTTTTAGCTGGGGGAGTGGAGAGGGTTAGCCCAGCCACTGCCTGTGCCACAATATCCATACTGCTATTCCTAGCATGTGCATCTGTTGAGCTGGGCTGGCTGCACTTCCACCTGCTGCATAGACCCATATGATCTGTGCATACTTATTTTAATCTGGTATAATGCCACTGACTTAATCCAGAATTTTGCCCTTTGTCTCCTTCAAATTCCTCTCCCTCCTGACTGCATACAGGATGCTTGGGGACAGAGTGGGGCTATAAGAGCGATGGAAGCTAATACAGAGCATGTCCATACCTGGATAGGATTTCTCCTCCACGCCTACTGCATTACTGTGCCCTGCACTCATATTGAGTGGCTTCAGGGGAAGAGGATGTGGAATCTCATGAATAACAGTTACTGTCCTTTAAGTTCCCCTTGCGCCCTGGATCATTGCATGTTTTTGTAGAGATGTGGCCCAATTAGTCACTTTACCATTAGATGGAGCTACTGTACCAGGGAGGCAGCTGGCCTCTGGCTTGAAGGGAGACACTCATGGTGTCAGGAGAAAAAAAAATTCTTGTTAGCTGATGAGCATATTTTTTTACAGGAGAAAGTGCAGAATCCCATTGTCTGCCCAAAGTAGTTCGTAACCATTTCACCTTGTACGTGCACCTTATTTGTTTGCCTGTTATACACACTGGGTCTGTATCTGCCCTTGTTGTAGTCAGGAGGTTGAAAAACATTTTGCATAAAATTTTCATAACTCAAAATCTTGACCACTTTTAGTCCAAAATAATTCCCGTGTGAAAGTGGTGAAAAGTCAGAATCTGGCCTGGTGTATACACTAATCAAGGTACAGGACTTGGTGCTAAACACTAGGATGAGGTAAGAGAGGATGAGTTTAACATTTGGAAACAGGCATTTTGCCAGAGCCCTCCTATCTGCTTACCAAAAGGCAATGTAAACTTGTCTCACTTGAAGAAAAACTTTAGAGGTTAATGCAGGGAGCCAGGGATGATTTAGAAAGGCATCAAGTTCTGTTTCACAGCCGGTGGAACCTTTGGCAAGTCATTTCATACCTGTAAAATAGGGGTAATAGTGAGGGTGGTGGTAAATGTGGTAAGTACTTGGATAGCTGTACCCAAGGATACCATTGGTTAATAGATACTATTCTGATTTGGGAACATTTTATACGCTCTTCATATTCCCTAGTATAAATCACTAGCTGAGCTACAGGCCCAGGTCATCTTCAGCTAGACCAGCTCTCTTCCTGGGAGATGCAACATGACAAGCTTATTTCCTTCCGCTGGCAGAGGCTAGGATGCTTCCTGTCTTGGTCTAGAACAGTAGGACTTTTGGAGAAATATCCACTATGGATCAGGCATTCCATTTTGAAACCCTCAGGTAAGAACACTCACCCTATTTTCTAGTCATTTTAGAATAACTTAAAGGCATCAAAGCTATTCAACATTTATTAAGATGATTCTACATGTTCAATGCAAACAATATGTACTAAGACTTTAGTGATGCTGAAGGCACCTAGAAATAAGACAAAGTAATTGGTAAAATCACAATGCCTTTTGCAGCATCCCCTTCATTTAAAAACATATCCTACAACCACAACAGCATGGCTGTTAATAAGGGACAAATGTTACAACAGCAGCAGACGCTGCTCTAAGTTAATAGTAACTAGGCTTTGAATGATTAGATTTCAGTTAGTATTGGTATGCATCCACATCACCATACCCACACAAACTGATGAAAAAAATATTTCCATTGGTAATACATTTATGGAGGCAAAGGAAGAAAAATGCTGCTTGATAAATCTGATTTAAGGATATTTACTTTGTATATCTTCACACCTGATTCACAGTTTGTGTTATAATGGTTACAAAGCTAACTTTTTGAAATCAACATCTACTGTTTAATAATTCTGATCCCTTCATAATTTCCCACAACTGAAACTTTAAATAAAAAGTTATTAAACCCATAATTTTGCACAACTGAATTTAAAACTGATTAAAAATTTTAAACAGTTGTCAATTACAAAAAAACATGGAATTCTGCCAAGCCCCTCTCTCAGATCTAACCAGAGGTTTGTATGGTCCAAGGCTCTTCTTCTGTATCTTTGTATGGAAAAGACCAACAAAAAAAACCAACCACCACTCCTGAAGTTCTGCATTTCCTTCATTTCAGATGGAGACTGAGTTAATCATACTAGTTTTTTCACAGGCAGCTTGCTGACTTCTGAATTTTTACTCTTGCTGTTCAACATGTCAGGAGTAAGAGGCCCAGAAGTCCTGCTGGCCTAGAAAAACTTTAGTCTAAATCCACAGTAATGTTTTATCAACTGAAGAAAGGGGCTGCATAATGCACCATGGAAGCTTTCATAACTGAACTATTTGCTTTTAGAACAGGAGTACTTGTGGCACCTTAGAGACTAAC